ATATTTAAAAAGCTGTACCATTTTACAAACATTATATATGTTTGTAAAATGGCATAACCATATTTAGTGCAACACTTTTATTGTTCCCCACAAAATATAGGTTTTTTCACTAAATGTTTGGATTTCTAAAATTATTGTGCACTGATTTTTCTAGAATAACTTTTGCTGCCAAATTATCCACTGACCTAGTTTGTTATATATTTTTGTCATAGATTATGAATATACATATATTTTTTCATATTTATTGTTTATTTTTCTTTATAATTAAGTAGTCTGTATTTAGTAGATTGTGAAAGAATGATACACACACACACACACAGAGATATATAAATTCTACATTTATTTAAATGAAAAAAAAAAAAAAACTTCACTGGTATCAGATCGGTATCGGCCAAAACTGAACCCTAGGTATCGGTATCGGAGGTGAAAAAGGCGGATCGGAGCATCCCTAAGAATTATTATAATTTAATAATATTATTATTTCTCAAAACGTTCTAAAATAATTATCAAAATCATTATTTCATTAAAAAAAAAGTATTAAAAAAAATCTATGTTTAAGGGAGTTGTTCAAGGCTGCAAACAATCTTTTTCAGCACTCCTGATGACCTTATATGGGTTTTATACAAGATGCAGGAGAGAGATTGAACACATCCATTCAGGTGTGATTTAATATCCGTGTTTTTTGCTTCCCACAGCCCAAACCTGCCAGCCGGGCCAGTTTCCCTGTGAGAATGGACGCTGCATCCCGGAGAACTGGCGCTGTGACCGTGATGATGACTGCGGGGATCAGTCGGATGAGTCTTCGTCATGTGGTGAGTCTTCCTCACACGGAGCGCTTTGAAGTTCCTCCCTCTGTATTTCCATATTTTATCTTTGCTATCATATTTTTTTCTGGTCTTCGTCAAGCCTCCATATACTTCAATTAGAGGCTTTTTATCAATCCATAGTACAGTATTTTATCTTGTTATATACTTTGAGCATGTCATTAATGGCTAATTGCATTGAAACGTGATTCAAAAACCACACTTTATTTCTTTATTGCTTGTGTTTGATTTCTTAAGGGTTTTATCAGAATAAGATCCTGCCTTTTATGTTTATGTAAAAATCGTTGAACTGAATGCATCAATCGTTTTCCAAATGATTTACAGAGAAATACGTCTTCTGTTCATGAATGACCGTGCATTGTAGTTTCTCAAAAGGGAAGAACAAGGTCAGATGTGCTGTTTTGAGTTCAGTTTAATCTGATGGCCTGAGGCTCTTAACAACAATAGACAAGCTATTGAGAGCCCAGACAAAACAATGCCATAGATCTGAAGTGTTTTCTGTAGCATCCTCACGCAAACAAAGAAAAAGGCCTGTTCTGTTTTCATATTTCCCCTGTTGTTGACTCTTTGATATCTTTTGATGTTTTGTGCATGTGGAGGTCACACACTCCGTTCCCACCAAACTGCTTTGATTTGAGCTGTGAAGGTCACCTGCTGCTGTCATGATCACATCTGAACTGTGACCCTATTGGATGGTTTTCTGCATTCTGAAGTGAAAATGATCCAATGGGTGTGCAGAGTTATAGACTTTCTTTGTTGCGTGGCAGCCAGTCAGTTGAGTACATGCAACATAGTATCTCAAAGAAAAGTAATGGTAAAGTTTATTTAAATGTAATAAAACATCAAAGGGAGTTCTCAAAATTAGCATGTGCCAATAAATACAGATTTAAAAAGTGAAAATAATCATTGTTTTTATATTTCATATACACTATTGTTCAAAAGTTTGGGGTCAGTAAGATTTTTTTGTAAGAAAATAATACTTTTATTCAACCAGGATGCATCAATAGTGACCATAAAGACATTTATAAGGTTCAAAATATTTGTTTCAAACTGTTCTTTTGAACTCTGAATCAATCTATCTATGGATAATAAATACTTTTTATTCTTCATGAAATCTCTATTCATTGCCTCACAGCCAGGGTGGTGCAATTAAGGTTAAAACAACTACATCACATTTCCAGGGTCAAAATTATCATTTGCCAGATACCAAATGCAAGTGAAAATTGGCCTTGACATGTAAATAAAACAAGATAATTTGTTTTATTTACCAAGCGATTCAAATCAAAATCAAACTTCTGAAACTCTTTACTAAAGAAATTTAATTTAACTTTTACCTCAGTGGAAAATGTGCCTTAAGTGTCTACAATACCTACGAAGTCACATTAAGCCGCCAAAATGAAAACGAGGTACAAAATCACGATGTGTCTTCACGCTTCCATTTGATGCAACTGTCCTCAGTAGAGTTTGAAACAAGCAGACACCTTAAAATCAGCTCATCAAACAATATCTCAACTGAATACACAGTGACATCATGGATGAACTATTTTAGGTTCCTCAAAGAATCTTTCAGTGAACAGTTCTTTCATTTCTTAGTGTGAAGAACATTTTAATAATCTAAAGAACCTTTTTCCCCACTTTGAAGAAACTTTTAGGCAATGGAAATGTTCCAAAAGGTTCTTTATGGAACCATCAATGCCTATTCTTAATAATGAATGTAGAGATTCAATGGAAGAACCATTTTGGTTCCCCAAAGAAACTTTCGGTGAACAGCTCTTAAAAGAATCATTTGCTTGGTGTGAAGAACATTTTAATTATCTAAAGCAGAGGTACCCACGGGCTGTGGAAGAGTTGCTACTGGGTTGCAAGAACGTTCTGGGAAAAAAAGGTGTATTGATATGATACTCTTGTTATTTATTGTGCGTTAATATTTGTTCTATTTATTCTGCATTTTTGTTTGTTGTATGTGATTGCTATGCAGTAGCAATTTGACAATTTCCCGTAAATGAAATGTTCAATAAGTAAATGAATGATTGTTTTGATCTGTCACATATATATATATACAGTATATATATATTATTCTAAAGAACCTTTCTCCACTAAAAAATAACCTTTGTGGAATGGAAAGATTCCATGGATGTTAAAGGTTCTTCATGGATCCATCAATGCCAATAAAGAACCTTTATTTTTAAAAGTGCAGTTTTTAAAAGAAACATTTTTCTTAGTGTGAAGAACATTTTAATAATGTGAAGAACCTTTTATGAAAATATTGATGTTAAACGTTCTTCATGGAACCATTATTGTGAATAATAAACCTTAATTTTCGAGAATGTAATGATTCAGTAGAAGAACCATTTTGGTTCTCCAACGAACCTTTCAGTGAACATTTCTTGAACTTATTTTTGTTGTTGTTGGTGTGAAAACCATTTTAATAATCTAAAGGACCTTTTTCAAACTTTAAAGAACATTTTATAGAATGGAATTTTTCTATGGATATTGAAGATTTTTCATGGAACCATCAATGCCAATAAAAAGCATTTATAGCATAAATTTGCATGTATTCATTACCAATAGTTAACAAAAAAGGCTGGAACTTTGTGTATTTGTTTTGCTCAATGCCAAAAAGTTAAAAATATGAGTGGCATTCTTGGATCTCCTCATCATAAATACAAAGATAAGTCAAGGAAATTTTCATTATATATTGAAAAAACAAACAATTAATACCTTTGCATGATATTATGCTGCTTATTATCATGCTTTGAATATCTCAGCGCTCCACGCCCTGCCGTAAACCCGTTGTGACGGCTCGCATCGTCTGCGACAGCACCGTTCAGCTCATGTAAATGAGAGATGAGAAATACCAGCAGATCTCCACCTCTCTTCCTCTGAGGGATGAAGTGTGCGTTTGAAGCTTTCTCCTCTGTTAGTCGTCGCATCTTATTACCGTTTATATTTCCTCGGGTAACGTTCCAGGGTCGCTTCGGTTCTCACGCACACACGGTCCGCATATAGAGTAATTAAAGTTTATGCTTGGCTTCCTTAAATCAAAATCAAGCTGGCACAGGAAAGCCGACCGCGCGCCGTCTGAGAAATGTCGAGCGTCGCCCCGTTCGATGTGAAGTCGCAGCACGTGGCGTCGCACGGCTGCTCGCTCGCTCCGTATCGTGACTCAATGTCAGTTTGCCGCATACTTCCTGTCAGTAACCAGGGAGCGTCTTTTCTAATGCATGTTTAATTTTGAAAGGTGGTGCGATGCCACAAAGACACCACTGTCGGTTTATTTGGAGAGGCGTGTGAGGCAGGTTAGCGCTTCTGTCTCTTGAGAGATAAGACAGACGGTGCAAAGTTCAGCAGAAACAGTTCAGTTCAGTCAAAAGTTGTTAGTCCAAGTCGTAGGCTAATCTAAGCTTTTATTATTCTGTTCGCATTTTCTTCTGGTATGGGCCCAACGTTGACTTGTGAAGTTGGAAGGGGGTGTCCTTTGCCCTTCACTGCGTTGAGATTGTTGTTGTTTTTGTGTCCTCCTTAGACTTCCCAACTTGTGAACCGCTGACCCAGTTTGGCTGTGCTAATGGGAAATGCATCAGTGTGAAATGGCACTGTGATTCCGGTGAGCTAAAGTGAATGAAGATCTGAATGGATTTTTTTTTTTTACATTTATCATAATAATTATAATTAGATAATAATAAGGTGATAATAATTGAATGAAAGATTTTCATGGTTTTTAAAAAATACATTTTATGTTTCCCTTCTTCTGGAAAAAAAAAAATTTGAATTTTATTTCCTGGTAAAAGAAAATAAAAGAAAATGTAATGTGCTTGATCCCACGTAGTGTTTGTCCTGCTTCTTTTTTCCCTCCCTTTATTTAATATATACTTTCTTTCTTTCTTTCTTTATCTCTCCATCTGTCATTTTGTTCATCCTTCCTTCCATCCTTCATTCCTTTCATTCTTCCTTTAATTTTATCTTCCTACTCTTCTTCCTTCATTGATTCATTCCTTTCATCCATCCTTTTTACATTCTTTCCTTCTTTTGTTCCTTCCATCCTTCCTTCCTTCCTTTCTTCCGTGTAAACTTGCTTCTTTCCTTCTTTATTGTTTCCTTTCGTCCATTTGTCCTTCCTTTCTTCTTTTCTTAATTCCTTTCTCCTTTTCAATCTATTCTTCTTTCTTTATTTCCTTCCTTCCTTTCCTTCATTTATCCATCCATCCATCCATCCATCCATCCTCTCTCTCTCTCTATATATCTCTTTCCATTTTTACATTTTTTGTTTTTGTTTTTCGCTCCTGTTTTATTTTGGTAGATGGCATCAATCTGTTCACATTGCTGAAGTGTTTGAACTCGTCTATATGTTCATAAAGAGCAAATTCTCTTTTTTAATGTCTTAGTTTGCAACATGCGCTTCTCGTTGCTCGACACACGGTTGAAGTGTTTTTAGCGCTGAGTTGAGTCGAAGACCCTTGAGGCAGATAATTTTCATTTTTCCTCAGATTCTGCACAAACACAGCTGAAGTTGCATGCTGATAGTCTGTCTTTGTCAAGGCGTCGGTGGGTTTGTCGCAGCGCTGTAGATTGATCCCCCTCCTGTCAATGTGAAGTCAGTGAGGAACTGTTGCAATGTGCTGCTAAAAGCAAACAGATTTCTGCCGATGACAGAATGACACATCCAAACAAGAGAAAGAAAAGAGTTTCAAACCCACGGCTTGGGACAGGCAGAGATGGAGTTTGTTCATTCTTTCACAGTCTCAGTCACTCTCTCTCTCTCTCTCTCTCTCTCTCTCTCTCTCTCTGTCTCTAGAGGATGACTGTGGGGACAGAAGTGATGAGGTGGGCTGCGTTCACGCCTGTTCGGTGTCTCAGTTTCAGTGCTCCAGCGGGAAGTGCATCCCTGAGCACTGGATGTGCGACGGGGACAATGACTGCGGTGACCTCAGCGACGAGAACGCCACCTGCTCCAGGACAGGTGCTCATGATCGCACAAAACACAAACACACAGAACCATTGACCTAAAACTGACATCTTCCACCTTCAAAATGTCAACATTTGTAACCACAAAACTTTAAAGACTTTTTTCCTCTATCAGTGCTCTCCGCCATTAACGACTGCCGTGAGAAAGAGTTCCACTGCCGTGGCGACGGAACCTGCATTCCTGAAATATGGCGCTGCGACGGAGACAAAGACTGCGAGGACGGTAGCGATGAATTCGCCTGTGAGGGAGCCAAGAGAATGTGCGACCCCAAGGCAAAGTTCACCTGCAAGGTCTCAGGTAGAAAGCAACATTTATTACATAATCGCATTATCACATTACATAATCAAGTTTCACACTTTGGAAAATTCTCTATAATGTCATCTCTGGGTAAAGAGGGTCGTAAATATGATCATTAATCGATTGATTGTGGCCTGGGGTGGCGTGATGAATCAGCACTCATTCAAATTATATTGCATTACCGTTATTCCGCTGAAAATGGGATTGCGATGTGAATAGATGCTTCCAAATGGCCATTGATTATTGCTTTGCTTCCCTCTAGACTGAATTAATCTTGTTTAAGATGCATCATTTTGTTCTGATTGAGGCAGACCAGGAATTTTTTATTACCCTTGTGAGTTGGGCTCAGGTAGAATTGTATTTGTGTTTGTGGGTAAGTGTGTGTGTTTGAATTGATCTGTGATGCTGAACTTCAAAAGTTAGAGGTTGGAAAGTGGAGCATTTGCCACTTTAAAAAAGCTGGAGGCTGTTTTATGAGAGGAACTTTTGAGGGAAAAAAAAGACCTATTTCAATTTGTGACATAATATACTAGGGATGGCAATCATGTCAATATTACATAATATGAAGTTTAATTAACCAAATTAATGGCAGGTAAACTGGATATTTGCCCCAAATGAAGCTAATCCGAAAAACCTGCTGAACACATCTTAAACCAGCCTAAACTGGTTTCCTTGTCTTAGATGGTCTCTCAGACATGTCTATTTAAATAACCAAATTAATAGTAATTAATCAAATTTAAAGGGATATCTGATTTAAAAAAAATCAAAATACATCTCTGCTGAAAAAAAAAGAAAAAGAAAAGAAAAGCTAAGCTGGTTTTAGCTGGTCTTCCAGCCTGATCATATTGGTTTGCAGGCTGGTTTTAGATGGGTTTTTAGATGGGAAACCAGCTAAGACCAGCCAAAGAGAATAGGAATGTATTTTTTTTTCTTAAACCAGCCTTGACTGGTTTCCTGGTCTTAGATGGTCTCTCGGGCTTGTATAATTAATCTAATGTATGTGGATATTTGCTTAAAAAATGGTCCAAATGACGCTAAATAAAAAACATAGCATTATTTTACTCAATAAACCAGCTGAAAATATCTTAAATCAGCCTAAACTGGTTTCATGGTCTTATATGGTCTCTCAGGCATGTTTAATTAACCAAATTAATGAAAAAAAAAATATGTGTATGTTGATATTTGCTTAAAAAAAAAGGTCCAAATGAAGCTACATAAAAGACATTGCATTATTTTACCCAAGAAACCTGCTGAAAACATCTTAATCCAGCCTAAACTGGTTTCCTGGTCTTAGATGGTCTCTCAGGCTTGTCTGTTAGCTGGGTTTAGAGAGGTTTTGGGCACTTATTATCCTGGATGACCAGCTGTCTAGCTAAACACCAACTTGACTTAGTTGGAAGATTAACTAGAAAAGCTAAAGACCGGCATAGGCTAGTTTAAGCATTTATTTTTCAGCAATAAGTAAATATATTATGTCCATATCATTAATCATAAGCCTATCACTAGCCTACAGAAAACGTCCTGTGTGAACACCACCTTATTCATTCTGTGTTGCCTGCTCTCGCGAAGTACCCTGTAGCAACTTGTTAGCATGTTTACATTAGCAATTTAAAGCACGTACCGATTTCACATTTGAGGTGTCACTGTGTGTAATTTATGCTGTGGAACAAAACGTTGAAGTCATGAACCTCATTTTATTCTTAAATCTAAAGCCGCTTTTGCAAAGCCATTAGAAATCCCAGAGGGGAGCTGTTAGCGAAAATGCTAATTCACTTCCAGGTTGTAGAGCTACAAACCGAACAGCTAGAAACTATAGAATGACTGTCAAAATGTTTTAGTGCCTTGGACCTTTCATAAACATGGAAGATATTTTAATTCGAGCCTTTTTAATCGCATCTAGCCTGAATTCAGGTAGACCTAGCTAAACAAAGTTTCTGGAAAACCCAAAGTAAAGTGAATTAAAATCTCTGTGAAGGTCTAATAAACGTGAAGACACTATTTGGTCTTGGAAGATACAGAAAAGTAATTTATGTACTCAACGCCCTGTTTCACCTTCTTAAAGAACATGTCTGGAGAGATAATGAGGGAACCGCTAATGACTTGTCTCACATGCTCAAAAAAATAAATCGAAACACCTTAGGTTACTCAGTACACCATTAAGAACAACTGATAAGGATTCTGTATGAAAATGTACAGAGAAACTCATGTCTCGCATTAAATTGGAGAAAAGGGTATTTAAATAAATAATTAAATCATAAAAAAAGTGGCTACAAAACTGTCAGTCTAGTGCGAACAATGGCTGGATACCATTAAATTTTTTGAAAATTCAAAAATACCATTCACAATACCAATCAAAACTTTAAAACTGTCAGTTTCCCAAACACTTTCGCTAACAGTAGCTTTTTAACATAGCTTTTTCCCCCTTACACTCTTTAGAAAGCTCTCTGTTTTTTCAACGTAAAAAAAAAAAATAAAAACAATGATTATGTACCTCATTATCGCTAATGATGCGGCAAACACCAAGGTCCAAAAAGCACTCTGAAACCGTATGTAGCCCTATGGGAAAGTATATGCCGTATCTCGAATGTGGTTAAAGAAAAAGTGTGCAGAAAGCAGATAGCTTTGTAGAGAAACGACGCAGAGAGTTAATGATGTAAAAAAAAAATAGTCCTTTGGAACACGTTTGTTTTTCTCTGCACCGTAGGGAAATGCGTTAGTAAGGACTGGGTGTGCGATGGAGACATCGACTGCGAGGACCAATCGGATGAGGAGGGGTGTGAAGTGTCCGTCTGTAAGCCTCCGAAGTTTCCCTGCGGCAATGACACGTCTGTGTGCCTCCCGCCAGAGCGAATCTGTAACGGCTGGAGGGACTGTGCCGACCATTCTGACGAGGGACCCTACTGCGGTGAGTCATGGGATGTAGGTTGTTAGTTAATGCTGACCGGCCCCTGACACGGATGGTGATATAAGGATTAATGTGATGTACATGCATTCATGAATCAACATCCTCGTTGGAACGACATTGCTGTTAGATTTTCAGGTTAGGTTTAGGGGTAGACATGGGTATCTATCTATCTATCTGTCTATCTGTCTGTCTGTCTGTCATCTAGATTTTCTTTTTCTTTTTATAAATGTCTGTTTTTTCCCTCATAGTAAATCCGTAAACACTTACACTTTGTAAGAAAAATAAAATAATTAATAATTATTAATAATTTATTTTATTTAAATTAATATGATTTCAAATTATTTTACATGAGAAATGGCTACAGTTGAAAAACAAAATCACAATATGTGATGTAAACTTTCCTTTTCAGAAAAGTCCAAATTATGATATTTAAAGTTGCAGTCAGGCTTCCGTAAATATCTAAATATACTTTAAACATACAAAATAAATAAATAAATAAATAAATGTTATTCAAAAAGAACAAAAATCAATTTTTATCTTGTAGGAACAATCTCAACACTCACCGCGCTCTCCCAGCTTTTGTAGGTGCAAAGACCAATTTCTTATATTAAGTTTGTTTGTATTTGTACAGTTTTTGAATTCAAGATTAGGTTCTATTACATTTTCAGTTGAAAACAATTTATCAATTCATCAATTTATTTTTTAGATGTGTTTATATCAAAAATAAACAACAAGATCTCTACCACGGTGTTCCGTAAACCAACAGACAGAAATACATTGTTGTCTGCTGATAGTCATCACCCACTGCCTCTGAAAAAAGGGTTACCATTAAGTCAACTCTATAGACTTAGACGTATTTGTGATTCAGAAGAGGAATTTGAGAAACAGTCAATCATTTTGAAGAATCGATTTTGTTCAAGAGGTTATCCACAAATTTGGTTTCATTCAGCAGTTGAAAAGTTAAAAAAAATCTGAGAGATTTCAGTTATTGAACTATAAAAACAAAAAAACAAAACAACAACAACAGAAGAAACAATTTTCAGTAAATTATATTTCAACCTACACAAAAAAATAGCCATCAGATTAAATCTATTGTAAATAAATATTGGTTCATTTTAGCTTCAGATCCTTCTTTAAAAGATGTTTTCAAACAACCTCCGATGTTTACTTACAAAAGATCTTCAAATTTGACAAATATGCTAGTTAGATCAGATGTAGTGCGTGATAGAAAACATATATACAAGGTTGTTTTCCATGTCGAAATTGTACATCATGTTCTTCAATATTACAATGCGAAAAGTTTACATGTTTACTGATGAATAAAACATAGGCTACCACATCAAATCTTGTATCATCTGTTCTACTAATAATATAATATAATATACTTAGTTCAATGTCCATGTCCATTGATGTATGTTGGAAAAACGTCAAGGCCGTTGAAAATTAGAATCAGTGAACATAAATCAGCAATTCGTAGACGTGACTAATGAAACACTGAATGCAATGCATTTTGATGTGGGGAAAGCTTTGTAACATTTAACTCGTGTACAGAAAAACATTGTTTTTTTGTTTAAAAAAAGTGAATAATTAAAACACTGCCTAAACAAAACAATATAAAATATCTCCTTTTGAAGTGGACTTTGAGCTTTGCAACTTTGCAAATCTTTTTTATGCTCAAACAGCAACATTACAGACTAACTAAAGTTGAAAAAGTGAAAAAGCATAATAGGACCCCTTTAAACATTGAAAAAAAAGGAAATGATACAAGCATTATAATCCATGCATTCTATTATTATGCAAAATAATAATAATAATAACGACTACTACTACTACTACCACTACAACTACTACTAATAATAATAATTATTATGCTTCTCAAGTTAATTGATCCCATTAATCTCAATGCTTAGATAATTATATGGGACAAAAATAATTTTATTTACGTTTTATTTATTTATTTACTATAATGCACTGCAATATTATAATACTATTTTTATTATGTTGTAGTATTTTGCTTCTCAAGTAAGATTGTCTCATTTATCTTAACTTTTAGATATTTTGATTGAAAAACAGGACAAAAATACCCAAACTCTTAGTGTGTTTCTCCCAGTAGGGGTTTCATTTTCATTCAATTTGATTCAGTTTTCTTACAAAAACAAATTTAAGAGACATTTTATCCTTTAAAAAAACACTTAAATAAATCTTACTCTTACATCAGAATGTACGTAATTGAGTGCGATTTAATTATACAGACTCCCAAATAATGTATTTATATACTGATTTATTCATTATTTTGATGAAATGAATGTGCTCCTTTTTTTTGTGTGACACGTGTAGTGTGTGTGTGTGTGTGTGTGTGTGTGTGTGTGTTCACACAGTGATTCTGATGCTGTGTGTGACTCTTGGGGGATTGGAGGATTTTAGTGAGTGTGTATTAAGGTTCGTTTAGGAAAGCTTTAGAGAGAGATCTCTTCCCTCAGGTGAGATGAGGTAGTGCTGGAATATCAGCTTAGAGCCAATTACATCTATCGGCTCCTCCTCCTCCTCACACACACACACACACACTCACACACACACACACACACACACTTTCCCCTCCAGACTGATTAATGCGAGCACACTGAAAACTGGCCTCTGAGGATATGTGAGAGAAGAGAAACAGACTCTAGATGGTCTTTTTTGCTGTTAGTAATGACTGAAGAGACTAATATATATATATATATATATATATATATATATATGTATGTATGT